ACTGGTTTAGTAATCACACACCCTCAATCCCAGCATCTATACTCTAGATTCAGCCACCACTGAAAAAGCCACCTATGACCGCATGAGGCTTTGGGGGACACCTAGGCACAAACCATAACACCCAACAATACTTACTATTGCCTGTGTTTTGTTATGGCCTCTCTAATGGGTATGAGGTAGTATTCATCATGGTTTTGATTTGGTTTTTGATCTGTGACTTATTTGCTAATGATATTGAGCATCTTGTCATGTGCTTATTGGCCATTTTTGTCTTATTTTGTGGACTGTCTCTTCATATTCTTTGCCCATTTTTAATTGGGTTGTCTTTTATTGTTTAGTTGGTCGTTGTATATTCTGGGTACTAGATTGTTACCAGATACAGTGGTGCCTCAGTTCACAAGCTTTATTCATCCCACCATGCTGGGAAAGACGGCCACATTTGTGTTCTTGCGGGACAGGGCCGTGGTCTTGTTTGTCACCCGGTACAGAGTTCACAAACTAAAACAAGATTTTGCCAAACACTTCTCCTTGTGAACCATATTGTTCACAAACAAAAGCATTTGTGAGCCAAGGTACCACTGTGTATGATTTATAACTGTTTTCCCTTTTCTCTGAGTTGTCTTTTCATTTTCTTTATCATACCCTATTAAGCACAAAAGCTTTTTTAATGTTATTTTATTTACTTTTACTCTGGTTGTCTGTTCTTTTAGTATCATAACTTAGAAACCATTATCTCTTCAAAGGTCATAAAGATTCATGCCTAGCTTTTTTCTAAGAGGTTTGTAGCTTTTAGTTTGTGCAATTAGTTCATGACCCATTTTGAATTAATTTGTATATAATGTAAGGTAGATGTCTAGCTTCATTTATTTACATGTTGACAGCCAGTTGTCCTAGCATCATATATTGAAAAGGATATTCTTTTCCCCATTGAATGATCTTGGTACCTATATAGAAAATCAGTAGGTATGTAGGTTTACCTCTAGATTCTCCAGGCAATTCTGTTGACCTGTTTTTCTGTCTTTGTGCCAGTACCACATTTTCTCAGTCACTGTAGCTTTGTAGTAAATTTTGAAGTGAGGAAGCACAAGTCTTTCACTGTGTTGATTTTCAAGATGCTTTGGCTCTTCTGGGTCCCTTGTTGTGTTAGTTACTTTGCTCTCATTGCTGAGACAAAATACCTGACACCCAAAACTGAAGGAGAAAGGCTTATTTGGCTTACACTTTGTAGAGGTTTCAGTCCATAATCGACTGGCTCTGTGGCAGGGTGGCAGAGAGACAACAGTTCATGGTGATGGAAGCAGCACAAAGCAACACGAGGCCTTAAGAGAGTCTCCCTGCTCCTGTTACCTTATCCAGGGTACTGGGGTTAGGTAGAGCCAAACCAAACAGTATTCCGGTTTAGTAATCACATGCCCTTAATGCCAGCATCCACACTCTAGATTCAGCGTCTCTGAAAAAGCCTATGGCCACACAAGGCTCTTGGGGGACATCTAGACACAAGCCATAACACTTGCATTTTAAAGAATTTTAGGACCAGCCTGTTAATTCCTGAAAAAAGAATGCTGAGATTTTCAGTATTGCATTGAGTTTGTAGATCATCTTGGGAAAATTGACAGTTTAACAATATTAAATCTCCTGCTTACAGTATGTGTTTCCACTTATTGACATTTTCTTTAATTTCTGTCAATATTTTGTAATTTGCAGTGTTTAAGTCTTAATGTTCATTTGTTAAACTTTTTTCTAAGAATTTTATCCTTTTTGATGCCTTTGGGAATGGAATGATTTACTTAATGTTACATTTGGACTGTTCATTGCTGCAGTATAGAAATACAGTTGCTTTTCCCATGTTGATCTTGTATCCTGCAACCTTGTTGAACTCATTTATTATTACCTTATCAGTTTGGGGGTTTGTGTGGGTATTGTGGGTCCCTTGGGTTTTCTATATACCAGATCATATTATGTGCAAATAGATGTAGTTTTACTTTTTTATTTACAATCTGGATGCTTTTTATTTCATTTTTCTTGCTTAATGGCCCTGGCTAGAACCTCCAGTATGGTGTTAAAGAGAAGTGACAAGAACAATCATCCTGTCTCATTCCTGATCTTAGGGGAAAAGTATCCAGGCTTTTGCTGTAAATTTGATGTTATCTTTCGGTATGGGCTTTTGTAGATGTCTTTATTAGATTTAGAAATTCCTTTCTATTCTTAGTTGGTAAGTGTTTTTACCATGAAAGGGTAATGGGTTTTATCAAAGGCTTTCCCTGCATGTGCTGAGATGATCATGTGGTTTTTGTCCTTCACATTAGGTCCTCCCTTATTTATGGGGCATGTGTTCAAGACCCTTAGTGGATGTCTGAAACTTTGGGTAGTACCAAATTCTGTGTTTATGGTGTGTGTGTGTGTGTTTTTACCCTGTACCTACATGCCTATGATAAAGTTCAATTTATAGGGTCAGGAGTGTGGTTCAGTGGTAGAGCACTTGCCTATTGTGTGCAAGGCCTTGGGTTCCATCCTTGGCACTATCAAAAACAAATTTTAATTATAAAGTAGGCAGCGTAAGAGATAAATGACAATTGTATACTAGGACGTTTGCATAATAGGACAACATACGTCAGTGAAATTGCCAGCATCCCTGATGTTGCACTTTGCAGCTGTTATTAAATAAAAGCTCCTTGAACACAAGCATTGTTCTGACAGCGGCAACACAATGTGGCAGTTGACTACTGGGTGGCTGATATCCTGGCAGGGTGCACAGTGTGAACATGCTGCACAAGGGGGCGATTGAGGTGTGCCCTGGGCGGAAGGAAGGGCACAGTGAGAGATTTCACCGCCCTACTCGGAATGAGTAGGAAAAAACTTAGGAGTTTTTTATTTCTGGCATTTTACATTTAAAAATCTTTGGACCGCAGCTCATGGTAGGGAACTGAACCTGCGGATAGCCAGTTGTAGGTAAAGGGGCGGAGTGTTGCATGGACTGATTTCCATAATCTGAAGCTGCTGTTGCATTGAGACAGAGGGGCACGCTCTTAGTCCTCGATCCCACCACTGACCACTGCATAACCCTGAGCGGGAGCTTTTCCTCTGCACCAGCTTCCTCGTTATAAAATGGGGTGGTGGTGGTGCTTCCTCATTGGGTTCTTCGAGGGGTTCAGGTGAGTGACAGTGTTTGGCACAGAACCGTGCAACTTATGGACATGATGGCATCATTGGTAAATGTGTGAAGGAGCCACAGTGGGGAGATGGCACGGTCGGGGGGCATTGAAATATGAAAAGTTAAACTCTGAAGCCAGGCTGGCTCACCTTTTCTGGAAACTGGCGGGGGGGAGGCTGACCTCTGGGCCCCTAACAGCCACATCTTCCTGGGAGAGGGTGCGGGCCACATCCTGGGCCACAGGTGGGACCCCAGCCCGCCAAGCCAGGTGAGCTCCCATCCAAAGCCTCTTATTGCCGAGTCCTACACCTTGTTCAGACCTGAGCATCCATTCCCCAGGCAGCAGGACTTCAAGGGCTGATGTCTGCAGCAAGGAGACTTTGCCCAGTTTCCCAGCCCCCCGCAGCTTCCTGCCCAGGCGGACTCTGGGACCCTTGTGTGGACAGAGCACTGGTGCCCACCCCTCCTCCCCACTTGATTCTCCTGACTTCTGTTTTGCTGGCTGCCAGGGAGGCCTGGCTCCTTGTTCTGGCTCTGTGGACCATGGTGTGACCTTTGGCAACACTGCCCTTGGCCCCTTTCTGGTTCTGTGCCTCTAGACATTGTCACAGTGCATTAAGGATGAAAAGAGCCCCGGGCAGAGGCTCAAGGGGATGCTGACTCCCAGGGCCCACAAGGAATCTCTGCAACCCCAAAATGTTGTGCCTCCTTGGAGTTTGAGCTCTGCCTGCTGGAGAGAGGTGAGGAGGGAGGAAAAGCACTTTAATATGCCCGGTGCAGTTCATGGTGTGGGTGTTTACAAGCTAATGAGGCTGGATCCTGCTCGGTTTAATGTGCTGACCTCCTGGCCAGCCAAGTAGCTGGAAGCTCTGGGGACAGTGCTTTGCTGGTTTGCTTTTGGTTTGGTTTCCAAATTTGTGGGTGGCAGGCCGCCACTGCCTCACTAAAACCCAGCCCTTCCCTGCCCCTGGATCCAGAAGTACAGGGTGGTCCCACCTCCTGGGAGCTTGTGGTCTTTTTTGAGAAGGGGACTGTGACAGGGGTCAGTAATAACAAACGAGTCATTGAATAATCAGTAGAGAGATTGAAAACACATTTTGTTATCCCACCAACAATCCGCTTTGCCCTTTATCAGTGCCTGGCCACAGGAACATCAGGATGGTGTCAGAAGCTCAGCCCCCAGGGCTTTTCGGAAAATCCAGCACAGCTTTAAGATCCAGTGTGAGCACTGGGTAGGCACCAGCAACACAAGGCAGGGGTGGTCCGGCCTGGAGTTTGGCCACCTGAGAGACACAGGCAGCAGGAGTTTGGAGGCAGTGACCGTCACAGGCCCCGCAGGGAGCCCTGCAGGCAAGGATGCTGTCACCAAGGGCAGGATTTTTCACCTGTCTGACCCATTTCTTCCTTGTGGGATGAGTTTGCAGGCTGTAAAAGCGACAATGTACAAAGTGGGGTCAGCACAGTGCAGACATGTGTGATATCGTTTTGTAGTTATCATTAAGCTGAAATGTCTTATGGTGGAAAAGCATTGAGCTAGGAAAACTCAATAGAGTAGTAAGTTGAAAATCAGGTTTCAAAATGGGACCCTACTGGACAGCTGTGGGTCAGCATATTTTGTATTTTAAATGAAGGCTGAAAAGAAGGGAGAAGTATTGGTAATAATGTGAATATGCACATTTTCTACTCTTCCATGCTCTTCAAATTTTCCAATTAGTACATAACATTTTTATAATTACAGAACTGTTACTAGCATTCACACACACACAATGCCTCAGCCCCAGGGGTGCAGAGGCAGGTATGGGGGCGGGCCCTGCGGCAGGACGCTGACCCGACCTCTCTCCCACTCTAGATGACAGGATCTGCTCTCCGCCCTTCATGGAGCTCACGAGTCTGTGCGGGGATGACACCATGAGGCTGCTGGAGCAGAATGGCCTGGCTTTCCCCTTCAGTAAGTACTGCGGGCAGCACCACTGGTGTGGGCTATTGACGGACCTCAGGATTTGAACTTGCCTGAGGATGGGCAGGTGCTGGGGTGGCCTGGGATCCCACCCCCACCTCCTCTATTGATTGGGTCCCTGGGGTGTGGGCCGAAGATGTCCTTCCTGCCTGGCCTAGGCACACCTGTCACATTACTCTGGTACAGACGCAGTTTGCCCTCAGTGCATCTTGGCAGCTCCCCCACCCATTCATGCCCATTTGCTGGGTCAGGCCAAATGAGTGAGGGTCCTGCTAATTCCAGTCTGCTTGTCTTTTCCTCCCACAGTTTGCAAAACCCGAGTGGCCCATGGTACCAACTCTCATGAGGTGAGTAGAAGACTCCACTGTCCTTGTCCCTGCTTCTCGCACTGCCGTCCCAATCCTGGCAGCCCTTTATGTCTCCCCGAGAACCCTGAGCTCCATGGCCAGAGCCACACCTGCGGCTGCGCCCAGTCCTGCTCTGTTCTCCGCTTCCCAGGCTCTGCGGGAGTCAGCAGAGGAAACTGTCCTGCCAGGTCTGAGCCCTGCTGTGGGGGGCAGAGAATCCCTACAGAGACCACCCAGGAGAATGAGAGAGAACACTGCAGGGCGAGAGGAGGCTCCCTTGGGTCTCTGCTGTCCCCCAGCCCCCAGGAAGCCCACCAGGACATTGTATGTGGAGGGGACACCAGGTGGGCCTGGAGAGCCTGTCCTGGGCAGTCCACCCCTGGGAGTGCACCCAGCAAAGTGACTAGAACAGAAGCCCACCAGCTGCACCCTTCTGAGACTTGCGTTGTGCTCTTTAGCCCTGGCAAGTAGTTACGGGGCAGTGTCTATAAACACAGTGTTACTGGAGGGGGGCCGTGCCGTCACAGGGCTGGCGTTGCCTGTGGGAGGGAAATCGCTGCCCGCTGTAAAGGGCAGCCAGCTCCAGAGATCAGGAGCCCTGCAGCCCTCCAGGTGCACTTCATGACCGGACAGCATCCTGCTCCCTGTGTCTCTGTCGCTCCCGAGTTACCAGTCCTTGGTTTCCGGTACGAGTGTGAGTGCAGGCATTGGTGTGGGTAGAGCAGCTGCATCAAATCAGTCAGCCAGGAGGGGCCACACTTCTGAGCACAGGAGGCTTGAGGACTCAGCCTTGAAATTCACAGAACTGGGCCACTTGGGGTGTTCTGCATTGCCATCTGTGTGGCTCTGGGCAACTTACAGAGTCTTTCTGAGCATTTGTCCCACATTTATGAATGGGGAACCTAGCAGCTATTATGAAGGATAAGGCATTTCCTATAGGGGTAGCCGCAGCACATGGCCCAGGGGATTTTCCTGATAAGCTGTTAGGGAGCCAGCTGCCCCGGGGTGGGGACTGTGGTCCAGATGGGCTCTTCTTGGCCGGGCCCTGCTGGATCCTCAGGTGGGGCAGTGCCTCCAGGGAGACCATCTGCCCCAAGATGGACACCACCCACCCCAGCACTGGGCTGTCCTGGGCCAGCTGAACAGCCTCACCCGGCCTCACCCCCACTTTACAGTGTCCCCCACAGGCCGGGAAGTGCCGGGGGAGGGTGAGCGGCTCCAGTGTCGGATTCAGAGAGGGCAGAAGGTGGAGCTGCACACAAAGGGCTATGGGCAGGAGGGGCTCCCAGGCTGGGTCCTCACCGCCCAGCCTGCCCAGGGCCTCCCTCTGTCCCTCAAAGCCTAGCACTCCGCCCAGACCAGGACTGGTTTTGCCCCAGCACTGTGTCCATTTCAGGTCGTTGAACTGCTGGTGGGGAGTCTCTTTCCCTCTCTCCCTCTCCTCTTCTTCTTTTCCCTTTTCCCCTTGTAGAAATACTTAGCCTGAAGCTTGGAGCGCTCTGAAGCCACCCTGGGTGGCATGGCCTCTGTTCTACAGAGAGCAGAGTGGGGACCCTACCCTACCTGCATGTGCAGCCCGAGCCGTCTGACCCCAGAGCCCCTGGGCTCTTCCTCGTTCTCCCGGGGGCCTCTCCCGAGACAGCCTCCTCCAGCCCCACACACAGTGTCCCCGGGTTCCTGTCTGCCCCTGAGCACCAGGCACCTAGGCACAGTGTCCTGTGGTGCTGCTGTGAGGGATGGTGGCTGGCACAACAGCCAGCGGTCCAGGCCCTGTCGTCCCTGCTCAGCAGTCCTGGCTGCCGGGCCACGGTAGCTCCATCCTGGGTCCCTGAGGGATTAGCTCACCCCAGCACTCAGCTGGCTCAGTGGCCAGGCTCCTCCCCAGCCTCGGTCAGCAGGGAGGGTACCTTGCCTGCAGCTGCTCCTGCCCTCCCTGCCCCAGTCCCCTGCCATGTATTCTCCCCAGAGTCTGGGGACTGGGTACACAAGGCAGAACTCCCTCCGGCAGGTCCCTGAGCTCCTGAAGGCCTTAGCCTCCATCTGTAAGCCAGGAATGGTGAAGTGCCGTCTTGGAGGGGCTGTGTGAGGATGACACCATATAGTGCTAGAGTCTGGCGTGTCCCCAGGAGGTGGCTCTCACCTATGGGCTCCAGCTCTTGATCCGTGGCTTTGTGAAAGATACTGTAGGGTTGAGTAGCACACACCCTAAGGGTCCTGTTCCCTGGGACTTTGGTGTAAATAACACTCTTAGGAGTTGTGCCTTATGCAACCTACCCATCTCTACAACCCTGGGGTGTAGGGTTTCCTGGCCCCCTCAGCAAAAGTGAACTGACCCCCACATGTTCTTGCATTCTCCATGAGCCTCACACCATAGGGATAAGCCCTGGTGGGGAGCAGGGCTGCCCTGGACAGGTAACGCTGTGCTTTGTTGGGGGTGGTAGGCTGTGGACTCTACAGCCTTTTCCACTTGTCTCCCCAGATGGCCATCGTGTTCAACCAGGAAGGCCTGAGCGCCATCCAGCCACCCTGCGTGGTCCAGAACTTCATCAACCACAATGCTGTGCTCTACAAGGTGTTTGTGGTGGGCGAGTCCTACACCGTGGTCCAGAGGCCCTCCCTCAAGAACTTCTCTGCAGGCACATCAGGTATCTGCTCCTGTGTATTCCTGGGCTGTGCCAGATCTGGGGCACGGCTGTCCCTGAGCCCCGAGTTACTTCTGAAGGGGTGGCCTGGTGGCTCTGAGCTGTATGCAAATGGACCAGGACCCTGGCCACCAGGCATATGGGCTCCAGCTGGCAAAGCCATGCCCATCCTAGGCAGCACCTGGAGGCTTCCTGTCCATGCTGGCTCCTGGGACCTGCACAGCCCTGGGACTCAGAAGGAGCCCCGGCTGTCCCATAGCCGCTCGGGGAAGTGCAGAGCAGTGCTGAAGGTTCTGTCATGACCCTCTCCACTGTCATCTCCGTTTTCCAAATGGGTAGACTGAGCCCAAGTTTCGTGCACTCTGTTAGCAAGCAGAGCTGCTGGGGTACAAGGGTCCCTAGTACGGGACCTCAAGCAGGTTACAGTGGACACAGTCACTCCGTCCCTCACTGCCCCGAGGTGAGGACCTAGTCAGTGAATGTCTTGAATCAGTGGATCGGGGTCCTCAGTGTCCCTCAGAGGTCACACAGTGGTAGTATGTGCACCTCGCTGCTGTCGCCCCACCCCCAGCGCACTGCTTGCCTGGCACTCGTTGCCCTTGGCCATTACAAACCGACCCTAAGTCAAAGACCCCCTGGCGCGGGGCTGCTCTGAAGAGTGTTCTGGTGATTTCAGGGGCCAAATCTTTCGGAATCAGTTTTCTGGGAAGCACGGAGGCCCTTGGTTCCATCCCTAGCACTGCCCAAAGAAGAAAGTATGTCTTAGGCCATCTCCTTTCTTTTTTTATCCAGATCACTTCAGCTCTAAAAGAAATTCACCACCAGATCTTCTTTCTTATGCACACAGAAGTGTGTGTGTTTGCATTTTCCAACTTTTTCTTCTAGGTTGGAAAATGCCAGAGCCATGACCGTCAGGATCAGAACTCCTCATTCATGTCTTTTCTCTTGGCTGTTTGCTGATGCTAGGCCTTTCAGTGCAGCCCCAGGCCAAATAGTAGAGAAACACACATGAAAACTGAGTAACTAACTCCCAGCTGAATGATTCTGTGCCCGTGGTCTTTAGGGTGTGGTGCCAAAGAAGCAGCATGGGCTCCGGCTGTCACACGTGTCTTCATGTAACACAGCTGCAGCCCTTTACAGGTGAAAAGGGCACTCTGGGGCTCTGGTTCCTTTCTAGCCACCGTCCAACCTTCTGGCTCCAACAGCCACTGTGGCAGATCCCACAGCTTCCCGTTTCCATCCTGGGAGGTGGGGTCATTCAGGACCTAGGAGAGAGAGAAGGATTTCTCCACAACCACCATTGTCTCTTGATTGCCAGGTGGACTTTGTTTCCTATGCATCATCATCTCCAAGTCAGGGTGTGACTTCTAGAGCCTGTGCCATCTTGTTGATGCCTTGCCTGGAACCAAGCAAAGTCCTGATGAGGTGTTGGCACTGGCTGGTGCTGCTCCCCAGGATACGAGGGTCACATCCCTGGAGAGATCGGTGCCAGGTTAGACAGGCACCTCTTTCTGTGTGGTGGTTTTATTCCTCATCTTTACCTTGACCTTGAGGTCATGGCTTGTTGGGCTCCCAGATTTATGCGGGGTCTCCATTACACTCCTGTCCCGGGCCTGTTCTCCCTTAGGTACCTCTTACCACACAGAGCAGGGGTCAGCAGACTTTTCTGTAAAAGGCCATCCCAGTTACTTAATGCTGCTGTTGCAGAGCAAAAGCAGCTGTAGAGAGATGTAGACAAACAGGCGGGGGTGTGCTCCAAGGAAACTACTGTGCTTACAAGTGCAGATGTCCTGGCCTGCAGCCTGACTGAAGTGGGCCTTCAGCACCTCTTCCAGTCAATGAAATGCTGTTTTTACCACACCTGCCACCCTTGTTCCTTGTGCCAGGTGCTGGGGGTCTAGGCAGGGATCTGTCAGGCGAGTGTTGTGCCCTCATGAGCACGTATTCTAGCGGGAGAGATGCACAGGGAGGACATTACCAAAGAGCCAATTGTCATCTGAAACAGGAGGCTCCAGGGTAAACAGCACAGATCCAGGGACACCACCTCTTGAGGGAGCCTTTGGGAGGAGTGGCTGCAGGTTCAGGCCCCTCTGCAGAGGTGGGCTTTAATGCAACTGGAAGGCAATTCAGGTCACCCTTGGCAACACTGTGACATAGTGTCTCACTGACACCCCGAAGAGATAGGAGACAAGCAAGGCTGAAGACTGGCCACAGCTTGGGGCTGGGCAGCTGTGTTGCTGGGACACTGGGGCGCTGTTCCTCTGATTTACTCTGCTTTTGAATCTAGTTTTCTCACCACTGCTCATTATGCCTTTCCTTCTCTGCCCTCCCCTGTGGGGCACTGGTGGTGGCCCTTCTTTGACCCATGCTGTGTATGTCCTAGGACTGGACCAGGAACGGGCTGGCTGGGGCCCCCAAATCCAGGCTGCTCCCAGGACCAAGAGCCTCGTGTTGAGCTCAGGGAGTGAGGCCCTGGGCTGTAGAGGGATGGGGTGTCTTAAAGATCCCCAAGGAGCTGGGTGCCAGGACTCTGGGGGCTCGGACCACCATAGTCTCAGGTGACAGGCGATGAATAGAAGCTGCTGTCATGCCCCAAAACCCTGCTCTGGCTGCACTTAGAGAGATTTTGAGCCTGGGGCATCTGATGCCGCTGATCGCCCTGTGGCCAGAGCATGCCAGGCCAGTAGTGGGGATGGGGCTCCCCATGTGCGTCTGACCTTGCTTCAGGAAGTGCCTGGAGGCTGTGCTCTGTCCAGTCGAGTGGGTATACTAGGTGCCTGGTGCAGCTCCGTCCTTTCTTGGCACCAGCCAAGTGCCCGTGTGTTCTCTGGTGACTCTTGTGGGCTTCCTAGCCTCCCTGAACTTGGTTGGGTCCACCCACTGTTGGTGGCTTTCCATTGTCCCCCTGCTCTGCCAGTCTGGCCATTGATTTTGGGGACCTACAAGGGGCTGGGTCGGAAAGCACCCTGAACTTGGAGGAAGGCTAGGGATAAGGAGATGGGCCTGGCTGCAGAAGGCCAGAGCATCCCTGCCAGCTGGCCGACCAGCGTTGCCGCCCCAAAGGCTCCCTTGTGGCTGTCAAGTGCCCGGGAGTGGAGATTCGTGGAGCTGCTTGACAGAAATCCCGCAGGGTGTTTATTTTCCCCAGGCTCCTCCCCGGGAACGTCTCTCGTGCCCCCTGTCTGGACTGGCTCTGGTCGGAGCGACAGGAGGACTGCTGGGCATACCGGGGTGGCCCAGGGCCTCTGTGCCCCGCTAGCAGGAAGGATGCCAGGTACATCTCGGCGCCTGTCTGCTTGGCCTCTGCCCGAATCACTGCCTCATGCATGATTGTTTCGGTGCTATGGAGTCCTGGAACTTGGGGGTTGGGGGGTGGCAGCCCACGTGGGCTCCCCAGACCTGGCACGCAGGCCCTCAGCTGGGGTCCTTCCTGTCCTTAGGCTTCAGGACCTGTGTCCCAGGAACAATCCCTTTGTCCTAGGGGAGGGATCTGTGGTGCTCCCACCCAGTGTAGACTCCAGCAGGGACTGTTGGACTCCTAAGCAGGAGGGTCCCTGGCCGCTCTTGGGGCTGAGGGACACCAGGGGGTGGTGATAGAATTTGCCAGAATTCCTCCCTGGGCTTGTGGCTTTGTGATTCTTGCCTTCATGTGCCCTTGCTTTGGAGTGCTTGAGAGCATTCCTAGCTGACCAGCTGGCCCTACATCTCCCCAGAGCGACCTTGGTTAAATCAGCAAGGATGTGTGTTGAGGATAAATGAACACACTACCAACTTAACCGCCTCAGTGTCCCGGGGATTGGGATTTGTCTTTCTCTCCTGCACCTGAGTGGTGGGCATGGACGTGGGCATGGAGCAGGGACGTGGGCTGGAGGAGGCAGAGAGCGTCCTGGGGAAGACAGACCATTCTGGACACTTTCTTGGATGGATCCTCTGGAAGCCTGTGTTCTGGTTTCCTGTGTTTTCCCTTCATGGTGGGGAAACAGCAGAATCGTTTATAAGTGAAGCTCTTGCGCACCAGTGGCAGCCTGGCCTAAGAGCCCAGGGACTGGGAGGGGCTCTTCACACCCACATTGTCAGCTCCCACAAACCCTGTCAGCAATCGCTGCTGACTTAAGGCAGCCACCCTGTGTGAGGGAACCCCAGGAGTGGAGGACCTGTAAACCAGTGGTTTTTACCTGGGCGGAGAAATGGAAACGGCACACCCACCCACCCATGATGCAGCATCTGGTGGGGGTAGGGGTGCCCTGCCCAATGAGCCCTGGCTCTGCTGCCAGAAGCCTCCTTGGCTGGTGGCTGGGGTTGTGCTGCCCCCTGGTGTCCACTGGTGGAATCATGTCCCTACCTGGCTGTTCTAACTTAGCCTTGCTGTCTTGTGCTTTTGCAGACCGAGAGTCCATCTTCTTCAACAGCCACAATGTGTCAAAGCCGGAGTCCTCGTCAGTCCTCACTGAGGTAAGTCGCTTCTGTGTGGAGGCCTGGCTAAGGCTGCCTTCACCCGGGCCTGGTGTGGGCAGCTCTCTGGCTGGGCGGGGAGGGAAGGGCCTAGGGTTAGGGTAAGGCTTGGACACCTCTGCTGTACCCATGTGGCAAGTGTTATGCTGGGGCCTGTCCCAGCCCCGCTCCCCCAAGGTTGTGTCCATCTGCTGTTCTGGGGCTTTTCTTGTGTGTCCCCCCCCACTCACTGCTGAGGGCTGTAGCTGACCATGGTGCCCTGGCTGAGCTCCTCTGTGCCATCCGCTGGGGGCTGAGCCTGGCAGCGTTCGCTTGGTGTTTGTTTCTGGTTTGTTTGAAGAACCTGGTTCTATTTGTGCTGAGGATTAGACAGAGCATGACGTGGACCGGACCTGGAGGGACACCACCATCCTTCAGGGCGTTGATAGATGTCTGCGGGAACGAGTCAGAGAAGCTTTGGGAGTGACCAGATTTTAAAGAAAGCCTCTTGGGGCCTGGCCAAGCATGCTGTAGGATGGAGCAGGCACTTGTCTGTGCAGTGAGACCCTCAAGGGCTTCCTCCCTGCCAGGCATCTCCAAGCCCCATTCAGCCAGAAGGGAGCCAAGGTTTCACAGATCCGAGGAGCTGTCCCTGCCAATTTCCTGGCAGTGCAGGACTAGTTTCCCTTGAGACTATTAGCTAATGCCAAGAGGGACACTGAGGGCCATGAGTAGAGGAGCTCTGGAGGTCTGCCTCAGTTTCCTCATCTGAGAACAGTGAAGAGGTCAGCCTGGACACGGCTGGGTCCTTCCCCACTAGGGAGGCCTGCAGTTGTCCTGCCTTCCCCTCAACAACACATGACTGCTCCTCAAGATTCCTCTTGGGCTGGCCCTTGGAGGCAGAGGAAAGGGCCACTTCGTTGGTGCCTTCTTCTCTATGGGGGTGCCGGCCCCTCCCGGACACCCACAGGCCAGCCTGACACAGCCACTCTGTTCCAGGGATGGTGGCCTTGGGAGTACTGTGCAGGGATCTGCTGTCTTGGAGCCCACCTGTCCCAGTCATCGCCTTCAAGTTGGGCCCCGCTGCACTCCATCTTGCAGGCCCCCCCACCTCGTAACCTTTCAGAGCCAGTGTAGGACTCGTCAAGAGCAGCGACTTGGGTGGGGCCAAGGCTCGGCAGGTCCTGTCACCTTGCTGAACCTTGCTTTCCCTGCCCCAGAGGTGGCATAGGGTCCAGTGAGTTGCAGGTGGGAAGCACCCTCTGCCGGGGGTACAGTGAGTGCCCACTGTCGCCCTGATGGGGATGAGGGCCGTGTGGACAGCACACAGGGACACCTTCACTCCATTGCCTACTTCCCCAGAACACTATTACATCATTTATGTTTAATGCACTGACAGGATTTCCGTGCCTTTATCTTGTCCCTGGCCGGCTGTTTGGTTTTGTATAATCACATGGCTTCAGAAGGATTTCTAAGATTCCTTTACTGGGCTGAGAAAGAGCTTTTATAAACAACACATCAGGAGACTAACAGGGCAGCAGCTGCAGCAGCCTCACTGCCTGGCCCTGCCATGAGCCTGAAACACCAGCTCCTTTGATGCTCACCAGAATCTCGTGCCATGAGTGTTTTTATTAACCAATTCACTGGGGTGAGAAACCCATGTCCAGGACAGTTTGGTCACAACTCAGGCAGTGGGCAAGCCAGGACACCCTCTTGGGTCTCTGGATTGGTGAGGACCCAGGCCATGGGACCTACAGCCAAGCCGCTTCCTTGGGCCAAACCTCGGGCCCCGAGTGTCCCAGGAAGCTCTGCCAGGCTACCTCTGCTCCTGGGAAGGACTTACTTTCCCAGGTCAGACACGGGACCACTGGCTCATGGGCCAGTGGGCCCTGCCTGCCCCGCACTGCTGGACAGGTGGCACGAACCACAAGGCGGAGTCAGTGCCAGCTGTTGGTCCCTGCTCAGCACATGTCCATTTGAGGGGTAAAGACCATTTCATTTATCTCAGTGACCCAGGGCTCCATCCCCAACCCTCCTGTCCCAGCTTCACTTTTTAAAAAATTGAGATGAAATTCACACATGTAAAATTACCCACCTTAAAGTGAACAGTTCTGTGGCGATAAGTACTCTGGCCTGGACTACCCTGGGCCCGGGAGCCCTGGCTCTGTCCCCTCCATCACCAGCACCCAACAGCCATTGCTCTATGCCCGTGCCCGTGGATTTGCCCACTCGGGACACTGCATATTAATGGAATCAATCATATGACACGCAGCTCTCAGTGATGGCTTCTTTCCCTGGTGAGTTGTTTCCAAGGCCACCCACATTGCAGTGTGCTATGTATCAGAATCCTGATCCTTCCCAAGATAAAAGGTGTTCTGTGGAGCAGGTAGATACACCACAGTTTCTCTGTTCATCTATTGGCAGAAACTGGCTCACTCTCACCTTCGGCTTTTGTGAATGATGCTGCAGCTCAATGTCCAAGGGTCTGTTGGAGTCCTATTTCCAGCCCTTGTGTTTAAATTCAGGAGCACGGTTGCTGGGTCCCATGATAATTCTATGTTCAACTTTTTGACCCAGGTGCACTTTCATCAGAGCCACTTTGGCCCCTAAATCCACAACACCCAGAACTCCATATTTATTAGGCATTCAGTGTCCTGGCTGTCTTTAAAGCAACATGCTAGTCCCTGCCCTAAAATTCAGGTGTGACACCTCCTGCCAGCCAGGCCTGCAGTGTCCCGACCACATACCCCACCTCCTTATCCAGCAAGTCTGGGATAGAAGCTTCCTTGCTCCCATTTTCCAAATGGGCAAATGGAGACTTTTCCCTGCATCCGCAGAGCTGGGAAGTCACAGTCAAGGTTTGAATCCAAATCCCTTATCCCCAGTATGAAGGTCCACATCCATGAAGGCCGTGGCCAGGGAGCTGGGCCCAGATAAGATGTGCCTGTCCCAAGCTGCCTGGACTAGGGCAGGAAATGGGGGGGTTGCAGGGCAGAGTGGGAGAACGGGGCTGGGACAGCCCCGCCAGGCCCACAGAAGCTTCACTAAAAGCTGAACATGGACCTGGCAGCCAGATGGGAGCAGCAGCAAGTAGCGCCCTGGGAAAGGCCGTGTCATGTGGTGTAGCAGCGTCCTGCCCACTCCAATTCACAGCCTGCGGGAAGGAAGAGTGACCCACCTAAGAACCCTCACTGCGTGCCTTCGAGGCTCTGCCTGTGCCGGGTGAACGGGTTGGGCATCAGGATAGCCCTAGCCCTGCATCTCTGCCTTCCCCGTCTCCTGTGGCTTCTGTCTGTGTCTCCACTCTGCCCGCCCAGGCCTCCCCCTTTCCCTGTGCCCCAGGCCCTCCCCACCTTCAAGGCTCGGCTCAGCAGTGTCGGCTTCTCTGTGTCCTCTGGGTATGTGACATTGCACATCTCCTTCCTTCCTGTAAGAGGGTTGGGTTGGAGGCCGGAAAACCTAGAGCCAAGTCCTGGCTGTCCCTAACCCTCTCTGAGCCCTTTTCTGGTGTGTAAAATGCTGATGCTGATGCTGGCTTCTGGGCAGTGATGAGCACAAGCCCCTCGCTGAACAGTCTACTCTAGGGCTGCCTGACCCTCTGCGGGACCTGAGTAGGGCAGCCCTGGCTGCTCTGGAGTCTGGGGCAAGAGCTAGCCAGGCTGCCTGTGGCCTGCGTCCCGGCCTGGAGGAGGGCAGGGCTTGTGGCACCGGTGTGGGGTCCTTTGTGTGGTGTGGCCTGCACCCCACACCCGGCCTGATCTCTGTGTGTCCACAGCTGGACAGGATCGAGGGCGTGTTCGAGCGGCCCAGCGACGAGGTGATCCGGGAGCTGTCCCGGGCCCTGCGGCAGGCCCTGGGCGTGTCCCTGTTCGGGATCGACGTCATCATCAACAACCAGACGGGGCAGCATGCGGTCATCGACATCAACGCCTTCCCTGGTGAGCTCAGCCGCCTCGCAGAGCAGGGGCAGAGTAGCGAGCCGGGGGCAGCCACTCCCAGCTGCAGCTGCTTCCATCATGGTCCTGCAGGGCTGGGAGCCAGCGCTGGGCCCTGGCCCTAAGGGGGAGGCAGGACTAGGGCCCACGGGCCAAGCTGACTTCTGACCCCAACTCCCCACCTCAGAGCTCCAGGTCCATATCCTGTCCCTGCCTTTAGGGTCCGCGCTGGTTCAAGTCACCTAATGTTTCAGCCCCCCCTTGTTGTGCAAATGGAACCAACGCTTAGCACCCTGGAGCCCGGAGATGGTGTCATGGGGCTGGCTCCTGGCCCTGCTGGCTTCCCCTTCCACCCGGCCTCCCGTTCACTTGCAGGCTTCCACCCCACCCCGAAAGCAGAAAGCATATGCCACTTGGGCTGTCTTGGCCTCTGAGGCTTCTCTGGGACCAAAGCAGAGTGGTTGCTGGGGAACCTCTTAGGGGTTTCCTGGCAACCTGACTGGGTGTCCTTTGCTCATGCCCTGCCTGAATCTCTTTTGAGGCCCCTAGCAGCCTAGGCACCTGGGTTCTGGGTCTGCCCTGCCTTGCCCCTTAAGTCTGCCTCTGCCCCAGGGCCGACAGGGTACCCAGTCCCACAACAGGGCTACCAGGCATCATGTGGTATTCAAGGCTCATGCAGTTCCCAGCTGTGCCACTTAGGTGCTTTGTGACTTGGCCTCTCTATCATACTCTAAATGGGGCCATGGTGGTGCATGAGCCAAGGAAGGCAAAGCTCACAGCCCCGTAGCCAGTGCCCTGGGCACTTTATGAACCCGGGCGTGGACACCACAGTCACCACTGTCATCGCCAACAAACAGTCCTGCATCTGTGCCTGTAAAATAGGGACAGAGTTGTACAGTGCAGGCCAGAGAGACGCTGCCCACCGAGCAATTCTTTCAGGTTCCACAGTGCCCTGTTCCAACCTGCCAGTGCCACCCGGAGCTTGTGCAACCTGTTGGCACCAGGCTGTGTCGCTGGTGGTCACAGCTACGCTGGGGACCTGCTGTGGCTCCTTTTCAGGACATCCTTCCTGCCCTCCTCCTTGCTCTTTGGGCTCGGTACCAATTCTTACCCCTCCAAATTGGCCCAGGAAGGCAGGAGGTGCTGTCAGGGCAGATCTCTTTGGAGGTGGTTTGTTGGCAGTTGGCAGATCCTCCCCTGATGCTGCAAGCTTGGGTGTCTCCCAAGCGCTGTGTGGACATTCACATCCGCGTGGGGGCCATGAGCCTCATGGCCCCCGCAGTTTATAATCCAGACTCGCCGGCCCTGGCAGGAGGGTTTTTCGTGGTGTTTATCTCAGGTATTTCGCTACAATAGTGGAAAGTGGATGGACACACCCACCTGTGCTCTAGCTAATGGCTTATTTTGGCTTCTAGCTTTGAGTTTGGGTGCTGATCCCGGTGTCCCCATGTGTGGGGCAGAGGACTGCCTTACAGGTGTTCCAGGATGAGAAGGGAACAGAGTCAGATACTGCCCACATGCCAGCCCTCTCAGTGGTACCCAGGGTGTCTCTCCGAGTCCAGATGTGAAAGCTGAGATGCAGGTTGGATGCAGTGGAAAGGCTGACCAGTTCCTGCGGAGTCCAGTCGGTATTCAGCACGGGAGGGGTGGCCTTTGGCTCTGCCACCTCCACGCCTGTGCCTTGCCACATTGTGTAGGTCTGTCTGTAACAAAATATCGCCACAAAAGGACAGAAGGGTTATTTTAGCTTTTAGGTCTGAGTTTTAGGTCTGTGACTAGTTGGCCCCATTACTTTTGGACCTGACCAGCCAGCACATTGCCGGGGAGAAGCCCAGAACAGAGAAGGCTGTTCATTTAATGGCCAGAAATGAAAGAGAGAGGAGGGATCTGGGGGGCAAGGGCACGACTTCACTGATGCCACCTCTTCAAGGTCACACTCATGATGAGGCTCTGGACTGGAGCCAGGCTTAACGCATGGGCCATCGGGGACTCTTACCCAAACCACAGCAGGGGGTGGATGGGCAATTAAATGAGATGCGGAGACTATTCCCAGCGGGCCAGGGACAGGACAGGTTGTTTGCATCTGCTGAAGTCCTCAGCTTCCCACCCCTTGGGCACAGCCAGAGGTCACGGGACAGCCCTTTGGGGTCACATGCACCCAGCTTGATTCTGCCAGCCCCCCCCCCGAAAGCTGATCCTGGATTTCCCGTGGAAGTGGGACACTGCGAGGGCCCCTGGCTGCCTCCTCCCACCTCCTGTGCTGACCCCGGTGCCCTCTGTCTCTTCTACCCCAGGATATGAGGGCGTGAGCGAGTTCTTCACAGACCTGTTGAACCACATCGCCACTGTCCTGCAGGACCAGAGCACCGGCGTGGCTGCCTCGGGGGACGTGGCCCCGCTGAGGCACAGCAGGCTCCTGGCTGAGCAGGCGGGCAGCCTGGCAGGCGAGCGGAC